TAAGTTTTGCATGGAAGAAGGCTTGTGGATATCTTGTTCAAAAACTCTTTCTGTAAGGCAATCTAGATTTCATTTACATAAGCTTTCATTTAGGCGGCACAATTTATGAGTAGTGCAGGCCTCAAAAATGAGAATTTCAACCATGGCCAATTATATTTCCTCCATGTCTAGAAGACAAGTCTATAGCAGCTAACTCTATGGCTCTGGTTGCAGCTTTTTGCACAAGTAAATACAGACTAAAGAATACAGATAAATCTTGATCCTCTTTGTAGAGACAATTATTATTTTTCATCACTAACACATCAGTGCATTAATTACTTCCTCCTTGGTCTGTCCATAACCTTTGTCTGTGCTTCCATTTTTTAAAATATAAATGCACATATTATATACAATATTCATATGCAAAAGTCACTATAATTGGTTGAATCAGACTTAGCCAGAACCACACAGAGTCAGCTTAGTACTAGCCTAGTTTTAAAAAGAAAAAAGAAAAAAAATAGCTTAATAGATACAGAGATGGCTGGAAAATTTTACTGCCTTACTATTTTTCTCTACTGTTAAATAGTTATTCTTGTTACACAAAATGTAGTTTGAAAATCTTCTAATTTATTAAATTGTAACTCATTCAAAGCAGCATTTTTCTTATTTATTATTTGAAATCAAATGCTCCCTCAATCAAATTAAATCCAAATAAGATTATAAGGATGGGGGAAACTCTGAATTCTACAATATGATTTTAGATATATTAACACATATTAAATATATATAATGTCTAAATAAAAAGTAGATGTATTTTACATCTTGAAAATTTTTGTTCTTTTATTGTAAATCTCCTCTCTTATTTAAAGAAAAATAAAAGATTAACTCATTATAAATATTGCAGGTGTGATTTTCTTTGCTTTTACTTGTACAAGTAAACCACTTTACAGGAGAAAACAAAAAGGAGATATTTAGGAAATTTGTCAGGCCGTGTATAACCCACATATTAACACTTAAAACTCATGCGTAATCAAACAATAAAAAATTCATTTATAAATGAAGTATCACATGACAATTTAATTCCAATTTATATTCATTATGGTATTAATGATTTTCATTTAAATCAAAGAGTTAAAAA